CAGCACATCTAATAGACGCAGTCTTGCGTTCTGACACACTGCAGATGCGTAAATGCGATGGAGCCGACGTCTCCTTGAGTTTTGCCCCGGGGACCAGAATCTAAGGAGAGATAAGTTTTCGCTGCATAATTCACTTATCAGTAGTCAACCATTAGTCATGCTGGTGCTTCTCGTTACTGTACACAGACTAACATTTATATATTATATTTTTGGCCATATCAATGCTAATTTTAGATGATCAAAATTGATGAAATTTCTGGTTACTGATATGCTTAAGATTGGTCCATGCTGCTTGTAATGGGGCTTCTGTGTGTAACAATTGGAAGCAGGCGGTTCGCTCCATGGTTATCGGTTTGAAGATCAACTGGCCCTGATGCTTGAAAACCAAGACAGTTGTTAAAGATTGGGCAGATAATTTTACCAGTGGTTGATTAGCATGCTGCATCACCTCATTGAACGTCTAAAATGGATTGAGTCACTAAACACCTAGCGTAAAAGACAAAATATACAATGGAAGGGCAGCCACGCTGAAACGCGACTTCGCCCATCAATGGTACGAAAACTACCATGCATTATAGGTGGCTTTACACTGGAGTAGATTAATTTTAAATAACCATACGATCGCGACAGTAATTGCTGTTTCTAATGACACGTTATGGCGAAAAATCGAATGAATTTCTCCAGGCATAAAACGTGGTGAAAGGCTTAATTATACATGCATTAAAATAAAACTAATTTGCTCTAGCTTTGATATTTAAACGATAAGCAATTCTTGCTAAACATGTAGTAAATCATTGCGAGATACCCTGCTTTGCTGAATTCACAGTGTTTTACAGGGGCGTCTGTCCAAGATGCCTGAATAACATCGCCCCACATCTCCAGAAATTTGGTTTGCAAAACTAAACTTTTCAACAATCTGGTCTCGTCCACGACTGCGTTTCATGCCTGCTACCGGCATCACCTTCTGAGGATAACATTATGCTCCCTCAAAGTGTCATGAGGAGTAAAACACTTTGACCGAGGATGAAGAATTCTTCAAATTTAGCAACTCTCATCTATCAATGATCTCTCTATAAGGATTTCAACGTTTGACAATTTCCTACTACTCGCGGACAGTCACTTGTTTCCCATTGTTCAGATGGCATGATTTATTTCTCAAGCTTTGTGCGATCCTCGTGGCGCTTGTTCTTGTTTTTGCCGTCGTTGCCTAAGCCTAACAAGTATGCTGCAGAGAAACTCAGGTTCTTGGCATATCTCCGTTAATAATGGCATCTCACATTTATATGAAACAATGTCCACAGTTGCAGGAAATGTCGTATTCCTCTTCCCAACCATATCTACCTTAACGAGCTGTTTCCCAGTTACCCATTTCATACTGCCCTCCCAGCTGTCTACGGCAAGTCGACGGTACCCACACGTGAAAAGGTTTGAAATGACTTCCGTTCTCATAGAGGACCGTTTCATCCAACCAAGTTTCTGGCTTTATTCGATGATTTTCGCTGATCGGTGGTCGGCAGCACCTGGTCGTCATAATCCGGCAGTGCTGCATTCTGGGCATTCTGAGGGTGCTTCATAGACAACGCCACAATATATAAAGTTCTTCTA